ATTTTTCGAACACTATAATCTTGAAGTCCTACATCAGAACATTTTAAATGTAGGATTTAATGGCTTAAATTGTTAGCCCATAGTCAGCGCATTCATACTTTTTTACTTGTGTTACTCCTAATGGAGCATAGGCCGCCGACCAGCATTCTCTAGCGCATTCATAATGTTTAATAAATCAGTAGATTTTTATTTATTATTATAATTAGCTTTATTCAGTATTATATTTTTTGGTACAATATAGAATTGCCAGCATAAAGTATTTCAGCGAGTTTCCGTTTCTTATTTCTTGATCGATATTAAAGATAAATATTGAGTGATCGCCGGTTGGATATTAGCATTTCAGAAGTCAACATCTGAATAATATTCATCCTTTTCAATACACATTGGCAGCCATCACAATGTCTCCGATTGTAAATTTTTGTAACTTGTACAACGAAAGGTCGTAAACTTTTCACAAACGCACCTGAATAGGTTATGCAATTAGTTAACATAATGATCTGTTAAAACAAACAAGGAAACATATAACTTGTTGAAATATCTAGATGGCAAGAACAGGTACCTCAGATATCTAAGCAGGTCGTCCGGGTTATCTTTTCCATCAAAACTACTTTTGTTTATTTAAGTTCATAAAGATCTCTCAATATCATTCGGATCGAACAAATAAGATTTGAACTTAACATATTATTCGCCTTATTGCCTAGAATAGGAATTTTTTGAAGAGTTAAAATAATCTTACAAGAACATTTGATTAGTTCATAAAAGTGACGATTTCGTAATTGGATTCCATTCAATAATCGTTATACATATGTTTACAAAACACTGATGACATAGATTGAAACAAGTCAGGATAGTTTAGACGGTGAGACTATAATTTATGGACGAACTTTGAGCGACGCTAAAGTGACCTTGAGAGTGCCCATCTAACAACTAGGATTAAATGAGGGTTATAAACCTATGTGAGGAATCAAAATTATGATCTACAGTTGATGATTATGGTTACATTTAGGGTTTTCATCACGAACTGACATCAGCTATAATACCAAAACTTTATTATTTAGCCAAATGGGTGAGTGAATTTCGCGCCTAAATCCGAGACCTGTTATCTTATACTTGATTGGTTCATCCATAAATTATAGTCTCGCCGTCTAAACATATCGATTGTTTTTTTCACTATCTTTACTTCTCATCTTTTTATTCCCATTTTCAGTGTTCATGTTTCAATTTATTTATAGTTGTCTATCATTCATCAAAATTAAATATGTTTATTCACATTTTCATTAACTCATTTCTATTTACTACTGAGTAACAATTTAGCACCATAAGTCATTCTGGATATTCTTAGATAGTATTGAATTAATTAATATTTAAATGCATGATTTACTATTATATATATATATATATATCTTTATCCTTTACTAAATAAACTTAGCAACTCAATAAATGAATGAAAATATGTATTCGATACTCTATAACTCAATGATTATGAATAATCTATGCTGTAGGATCTTTTATATTGTTTATTATATAAATTACCTAAAATTAAAATTGTATACAATTCACTATCTAATCAAGAAATAAATTAATACGATAATACTACTCATTAGAAAATCTATTATTATCTCATATTATTGAATGGTCCTCGTTAAGTAATGAAACAATTATTTGATTACCCCTTAGTACATGGTGATTTAATATTAGTCAATTTTTGTACTGAAAATTATCTCCTCAAATAGCAACTATTGTGAAATAATAATAATAATAATAATGTTTCATAGTTTAAAATGATTGGCAATTATTTTCATAAAAAAACTTGAAACTGTTCATTTTGATTTGTGCATTGATTATGATAGATATGAAATCATAAGTTGGTTTAGCCAACAAACAACAAAATACAACATTGTTAACTTCATATTTGACAAGCTCATTAGTTTAATTAATCTATGAACAACTGTTTTGAAATTTAATTAATAAATTATTAATTTAATAAAATTTCTATTTCCTTCTAATAAAAAAATATAAGTAGTATACATGTGGTATAAAGTGAATACATGAATCATAAAACAATTCTTTCAAACGATCTCTATTCACTACTAATAAGTAGTATTGTGTTCTGTGCTACTTATGTGCAGATATAAGTAGTACATGGTAGCAATCGAATATGTAATGTCTGCCAACAGAAGACTGAATTGAAAAGAATAAAAAGGAAAACAGAGAGCAATGATAATAAAAACAGAATTGAAAGAATCATAAAGTACTTAAAGGTCATCTGAAGGAAGATGTGTAAATAATGTATTCGATATATGGTTTTGATATTTTAAGAACATACAGTATAATTCTGTATAAAACAATAATTTATCTATCCCCGCCAAGTCTTCATACACTACAATATTTTTCAAAAATTAAAAAACTAGGACAACTATCTTCAATCGTTTTTAATTGTGAGTTTCTACAATTATAAATTTATGAATATTATTTTAAATGATTCAATCTAAGGTGTAAATAAGATGATGAACAGAAGAAATTCCAGCGAAAGTTTGGGTAACTGTTTCATTCTAGTTTGATGAGATGCTTTCAAAAAATGAGTAATTGAAAATATAAGAGATGTTTACATAAAATCATTTTGTTTGGTAATAATCCTCTTCTCACTAATGACTGGGAGTAATCGGCAGAAAACCTTTGAGCTAGGTTTCATGATAGTTGGTCGTCGTCAGCAGGGGAAATAGTTAAGGAAACTTATTCTTTTTGTGGGATTTGAACTCGCTTAACTAAGTTTCATAGTATAAGAAACTACCATTGAACTTTTCGACAACAACTAACATGTTGAACTGGGATACCAATATTGATTAAGCCATTGATTTGTAACCAATCTCATGTTTATCAGGTCCTTAATATCAATCAAATTCTATCAACAAACTTATAATATGGCCACGGTTATGGGTGACTTGATATGGCATTCACCGTATTTTGACGTCAACCTATTGAAGCTGGTCGTCAGATAACCTTGAACCTAGGTGTTGTCTGTTTCGCTGAAAACTCTACTAAGAAATCATAATCAGTTCATTCAAACAAGTGACGAGTTAAAATATTACTCGTTCGTCCCATTTAGTGGGAATACTATCATATTAAAATTGATTTGAAATCAAGGATGTGAATGATTGGATTCTGACTGCCAGTTGTCGTCTGGGTGTTATTTGCTCACTGAAAAAAATTTTAGGTCTTGGGTTCAATCTACTGATTTGAAGCATAATTATTAATTACACATTTGGGAGCGGGTGGGAACAAGTCAAGTTTTTTTTCATGAATTTATGTTGTTCGTTATATTTTTTTCTCCGGTTATGTTTATCACCATTAAAAATTACATATATTCATAGGAAAACGTATCCTGCATTTTTCATGGTTAAAATCATGGCCTGACATTTGCTAGACGTTGGGAACTAGCAACCGTTGAACATTTTTATCGTTCCGGTATGGTACTCCTTTACAGTGTGTGCACATAAGACTCCCCCAGGACCGGTTGCATAACCATCAAGTCTTGAGGTGAACTACCAATTTTCATACGACTGAGCTGATATCAAATAATTACATGACTAAGATTAGTCTATGATGAATAAAACTACAAAATTTAACAATCTCCACAAATTCCTTTTATACTACTAGTACCCTAATTTCGTTTCTTATTCACAAGATGGTTGCTTACTTTATAGATTACGCTTCAACATGAATGACAAATTCTAAGTTTACTTTATGGTTGAATAACACACAAATTACGGTCTTTTACAATATCTATGTTGAGTGGTTTTACGGAAAGTAAACTCAAATAAGTTGAAGAACCAATAAAAACTAGCGAAACAATAAACAACTATCTCACTCTACTTTTAAGTGATTGACTCTATGACCTTGAAACTTTAAATTCCCCATATGTAAGAGTACAATGTTTTTAAACAATAACTGAGTATCATAATCCAACTATTCATATCCATAATCTCAAATCAGTTTGTGATCGGAACACCATTACAATTCAATGTTATAGATCAATAATTTTTATTCATGAACAAATTGATTGAATCTATTTTTTGCATAGATATTATCATTAGCCAACCAATCCATGAATTACAGAACTTTCAAATGGAAAAATACATATTGATAAAGGATATTAGTAACTAAGTAAAATATATTCTTACAAGTTGTTGTATAAATTAAAGATCATTTATATCATTATAATCACAATTGATTGATCACTGGGTGGTGATCAATGTCATGCTTGTCTAGTCCTTATTAGTGCAGATCGAATGCTATCGATCATGTTGCAATGTGGCCACTAGTCTAGGTGACTTGACACTGCGGGCACTATGTATTGATATTTAGATGGTAGTTGGAGGTAGTCAACAGGAAACCCTGGACCCGGGTTTCGTGCTACTCGTCATTTATATCATCATAATCTTATATGTTTACATGTGATTGTACTATTTCATTGTCATAATGGGTGTTTTTATATCCTCATGGTAAATTTCATTATGATACACAATTATGATATCATAATGATCACATCAATTATATTCTTTACTTATTATCTATCATTTTATTATTATTCAATAAATAACTACCTTATCATTGTTTCATTGTTTACTATATTCTAATCAACTGATGATATTATTGACTAATTTACTGAAAATCACCTCTAAATTGTTTTTTATTATTGAAATGATGAAATTGTGTATTTATGATTATTATTTATTCTATAATAATCACTATCCCTCAATCCATCCATCCTCTGTTCATTTTAGAAGAAAAACAACAACTATAGAAAATTGTTTACTTTACTTCATCACATGATTTATTTTATATAATAAATAGTAAATAAGTATTCACCGCCGATAGTATCTTAGATATGCTTGTGAAATAGAAAGTAAACTCTTCTTAACGTGCATATATGTATATACTGTCACAATTCAATTAGTCATGATCATTTCATAATCGCTTGAGTCATAATGGAACATTGTTTATACACTTTCGGATGATCTCTTTCTAGTTGATGTGTAAATTGTTGATTTTCTCTGAGTATTTTCTGTATTATTATTATTATTATTATTATTATTACTATTATTATCATTATTATTATTAGTAGTATTGGAAGTAGTATAATTTGCTTCTTCGTGTATATGCATATGTATATACATGTGCATTCTATCAGTTGAATCACTCATTTTACTTAAAATGAAAAATAAAGAAGTAGGAAAATAAAGAAATAGAATTGTTAATAACCCATAAGTAAGACATCATTTGACTAATTCATTAATGAAAATAAATCACTGTTTAAATATGAAATTCACTTGAATTATTGTGATTATTAGTATCTAGGCCAAAAATGTATAAAATAGTGATCATACAATGGGGTTGATTAACATGAAATGATAGGAAATGGGGATAAACAAATGAACATATGTGATGAATACATTGTATTTTACGCTTAATCTAGTTGGCTATAATACATAATCTGTGAATTTTGTTTATCATGTTATTTCAAATAATACTCTTATGTGTGTGTAGGGGGGGATAGTGAAAATGACCTTGATTTTAACTATTAACATTAATTATCAGTTTAGGGGTTGGAAAGATTGTTAAGTTTTTGATTGAGATCATGCACAGATTGATGTTAGACCGCCATTGAAAATCTGGAAGCGCTAGACGGCCGTTTCGTCCTATTGTGGGACTCCTCAGCAGTGCGCATCCACGATCCCGCTCGCGGGATTCCAACTTAGAGCCTTCAGTCTCATGTGCGAACGCTTAACCTACTGGACCATTGAGCCGGAATCCAGTGGTGTTAGTGTCTAACATCAACCAATCCACGAAGTTGAGCGACTATTTTCCATTGTACTGAAGTAAATACCTGTCTCTACCCGACATGGATTAGCTCCACTGATCTCAACTTCCCACTAGAACTCCGAGAATTCCCTCATGAAGTTAGTCATTGGTGAGCACATGGTAACAATCAGTTTTTTCGGGTTGTGGAGATTGTTAGGTTTTTGGGGTAATGCATTCGCGCGCGAGACTGAAGGCCCCGGGTTCGAATCCCGCGGGCGGGATCGTGGATGCGCACTTCTGAGAATTCCCACAATAGGAATAAATGACCATCTAGTGCTTCCAGGTTTTCAATGGTGTTCTAACATCAATCGGTTCATGATCCCAATCAAAAAAATACTGACATTAATGACTAATTATACAGAATGAGATGTGATTCATAGTTGGTGTTTTGTATAAGGAAAATTATCATGATCTCTATTTTGTCATGATTTTTTACTCACTTGATTTGAAAAAGAACGTCTTTTTAATGAACTAATGTTGATAATAATAACTGATTGATAGGCTAGTTAATATTAATACATGGGATACAAGTTTTATTCAGTTTTTAATTTGTGAATTGATGAATATGTTCATATCTTGGCAAGTCTTAATGAACTCAACAAGGATCTTATAACATATTCAGTTATTACTATCAGGTGAATTTATGATAAAAAGTGTAAATCTAAACAAAAGTTGATTATCCCATTTAAATCTGATTTTAAAAAATATTTTACCGTGAATAGAAGTAAAAAGGTGTTTGAATATTGGTTTTAGTGTTTCGAAAATTCATTCGATTGGGATTTCATAATGATGAATCCAATGGAAAAATTGATTATTTATGTTGAATAAATTGAGTGACGGTAACAAAAATCACAGACGTTTTCAAGCTTTACTACATCTAACCTTTCGTAACGGTATACAATGGATTAGTCAATGCATTCCGTGAGTAGGATCATCTACAGATCTTTCATTAAAAACTTACTGCAATTTAGTTGAACAACTTTTCCATAAAGAGACACACCTCTTCAGTTCAATGGTTAGAACATAGAAAAATTCAAATCACCAAGTAACATTTTATATTGTTTGTTCGAATCTTCCCATTGATGTTTAAGACTGCATTTGATCAGTTTCTTATTGGCATATGTACATTCTATGCAGATTTCAGGTACATCCATCTGATATGTCTCAAATAGGACGGAACGCGCGTCCTGATTTCCACTTCTAGCCACCATCTATCTTTGTCCATCAAGTAACAGATTTGAATAAACCTTATTCCATTTATTTTGATTAGAACGGTTGAATATAATGAATCTTACTACAAATTTTCACACAACAAAACTATTTCTCAAAGCTGGGTATACAAACTTGTATTTAGTAACTATGTGACATACACTATATCAGTAGTATTTACTTAATTTTTTCCATTACACTCAAAATGAAAATAAGTAAAAATGTCATCACATTATGATGAAAAGATTCATAATTGTTGACAAATTAAACGATCATGTTTTTTAACACTTTAAATTCCGATCGTTGTAAACATACGTACCACGTGTTGTATGTTTTTTTAATAATTTTCTTTTTCAAGAGTTGATCAGGAATTTCGTTCAATTTCAATCAATATAATTTAGTGACTTATTTACTTCAGAATGATTTCCGCAATTCAGATGGAATAATTCATTGTTTGTTTTCTTCAAATGACTACGTATTGGTAAGGTAATTTTCGCATCAAAAATCAGTAGTATTTCATGGTAATTTAGTGATATCTACAATTGTATCATTTTAAAGGGGGGGGGAGGGCATCTTAAGAATGACGAGGTCATTTGAAGCCATTTGTTATATGCCTTCATTTAGTTGTGTTTTTTTTAATATTTATCGCAAGATAGTTATTTGTTTTGTGTCTTCTTATTAGTGATACTGAAGACTTGATTTGATCAGCTGTTGTGTTGGTGTACAATTTCTTTTGATCAGATACCTAAATTACTTCCCTGTAGAGAGCTACAAGTTATATATGAAGTAGTGATTTACAACAACGAAGAATCGTCCTATCTGGGAACTCATCAGTTGATGATTGTATCTCCAACTCTTTTAATTAACTAAATTTAATTCTTGTTAATTTGTCATGAAAATGATTATATTTGTTGTTATTTTAGCAGGATCATGTGGTGTTCTCACTACTTAAAATTTCTTTATATAAGATGATGTCTACATTAAGTTTCATAATTTCACATTTTTTTCTAACATGAATACTTTTTTGGTAATTAATATTGACACTGTTTTCTTGAACTGAAAATTATAGATCATACGGAAGTTGATGATGATGTTGTACAGACGTCCTTTGTTACTATCAATTAAATGTAACTTTATGAAATTCAACTTGCATTAGATTCCGTATCCCTGAGACCTTAGAGTTGTCCTGTTTGGAAGTATTCTTCAATTATTCTAAAGAAGATTGACACCTCTACGGTATCAGGTCACGGAACAATGCTAAACAACATTTTATTGTATATACTGTCAACTGAATATGAAGAAGTGTAATGAGAAATAAGATATTTTGACCATTCTCAGTAAGTTTCTGTTTGAAGATTGGTTTGATTTATATTTTATATTTTGTACACTGTTTTCATTTCTGTTTGACACATGGGTGTGGAGGGGTGAGAGGAGGAGGTTATATTAAGTTGTTATAAGAATTTATCATAACATTTCTGAAATGCTATCTAACTGGGTTACTTATGAGTTACTCATGCTTGTTACCCCTTGTGGAGGGACATAGGCCACCACCATTCTCCATTCAACTCTGTACTGAGAAATCCTTTCCGCTAGTTTCCAGTTTCTATCCATCCTTTTGATGTTTTCTTGCAATTCTCGAGACAATGTGTTCTATGGCCTTTCTCTTTTTCGTTTCCCTTCAGGATTCCAAGTTATTTCTTTGATTAAAAAATGCTAACCAGAATAAAACAAACTACTTATGAGTAGTCAATATTTTATTGCACATTTTCTCAACGCATGTGTTATTTCCGCCTCCTTCTTTCGACTGATATAGTTCATATTTTTTCAGCCTTATTTATGACAGACTTTGTAAATGTTTACATTTGTACAGAACGAGAATTCTGAGTATTCTTTTAATTTTACTGAACGTCGGATACATATGATTGGGTAAAGTTGATAAAGACTATTGCGTAAATCACTGAAACGTCAAAATGAAGTACATACACATAAGAAAAGGAATACTTCATAGTTTATAATGCAAATAAATAGGAAACTATTAAAATTTCGACTTATGAAGCTTGGACAACATTGATTTATGTGTAAATTAGTCTGTTTGATTTTATACAGACTATGTAAATACGGAGATAGAATATATATCAAGGTACTTTTTAGCTTCAAATCCTTTACGAATCTTTCCTCAATGATATCTTCCAATCTGTGAAAATCAATCACTAAGTTGTAACTGATCATAATCAAAAGACAATAAACTTTTAAATTTGTGTTGTTATTAATATTGGTAATAACACTCGTAAACATCTATTCTAAATCATGATATGATGACGTGATGAATTGAATCTAATCATATGATTATTTATCATCAACTAATTTAGTCCAATATAGTTGTAAACAATAGTGTTTACGCAAATTTTCAAACTTATCTTTCTAGGCATATCTTATTTCTTATGTCGCCAATTACACATTGAAAAGGTATGTGTTTTTTTCAAAGGAATCAACACTCAAAAACATATCGTTGTTGTTTACTCAATAGTTCATTGTTTATTTTTCCAGTATAGGGTTATGGAGATTGTTGAGTTTAGATTGATATCATGAATGGATCAATGTTAGACTAGCATTGGAAACTTGGGAGCACTGGATGGTCTTTTCGTTATTGTATAGGAATCCTCGACAGTGCGCATTCACGATTCCACACGCGGGACTCAGGCCCAGGACCTTCGATCTCTAGACCATTGAGCCGGTATCCAGCGCTGTTAATGTGCAACTTCAACCAATCCACAATATTGTGCGACCATCCACCATTTTTTCACCTACATTTTACATTGAGATTTTGTTATTGTTCAGAATTTTATCTGTAACCCCGAATTCTCCAAACTTCCTTCATATAAAAGTCATGACGGGTCTTTTTTTACTAAAATAGTGTATTCTATATTTTATCACATGTAGTAATGACATAAAATTGTATTAAGTTAACATGAACTATACTCAGCATATGATTTGTTATAACCCTAAGTATTTTTCAAAGATGTAATTTCATTCTACTTATTAATCAATTGGGTGTACAATCAATATATAAATGAGTGTATCTCCTGCTAGAGTTGTCGTCATGTTTTGGGCATTAATCAATCTTCACTCATACCAGTCTTGTGTTCTTACTTTCGCGTCGTGGGAATTTGTGGAGGTCCCTCGTTCCGAGTATAAGTGATAAACGTTTCCGACATAACAATCAGTGACGACTAGACATAGCAAGTAGCGTTTAATCGACCGGACATAACACATTCAAAGTTTATGAAAGCAGAATTTATAAATAACTAAACAAAACTATTCGGTGAAATATTCTTAATAATATTTACTATAAACTATGAGTTACAAAGTAAGTAGAAAACATTTGAATAATAGTTAAATTCTATTAGTAAGGTGGCCTGTGAATTCCATCTTATTATGGACTGTAGAGTAGACAATATTGAAATATTTGAATGAAAATAAAATGTCTAAGATCCAATTGTGATTTTTTAAATGAAGTATGAACTTGCATTGATTCTGAGAGTGATAAGAACATACTTGATGAAACTTGAAATTATATGAGTGTTTAATTGGAAGAGCCTTTAAATAGTTAAGCGTTCTGTACGTGACTTGAAGA